TTAGGTTTTTAGAGTAGCAGCCGTGTTAGTCTGTATCCGCAAAAAGAACAGGAGTACTTGTGGCATTTTAAGCTTTCGTGGGCTACAGCCCATTTCATCGGATGCATAGAATGGAATAGATAGATAGATAAATATATACACACACACACACACATACAGATAAGTTGGAAGTTACCATACAAACTGTGAGAGGCTAATTAGTTAAGATGAGCTATTATCAGCAGGAGAAAAAAACTTTTGCAGTGATAATCAAGATGGCCCATGTAGACAGCTGACAAGAAGGTGTGAGGATACTCTTAACATGGGGAAATAGATTCAATATGTGGAATGACCCAGCCACTCCCAGTCTCTATTCAAACCCAAGTTAATGGGATCTAGTTTGCATATTAATTCAAGCTCAGCAGTTTCTCCTTGGAGTCTGTTTTTGAAGCTTTTCTGTTGCAAAATTGCTACCCTTAAATCTTTTACTGAGTAGCCAGAGAGGTTGAAGTGTTCTCCTACCGGTTTTTGAATGTTATGACTTCTGATGTCAGATCTGTGTCCATTTATTCTTTTGCATAGAGACTGTCTGGTTTGGCCAGTGTGCATGGCAGAGGGGCATTGCTGGCACATGATGGCATAGATCACCTTGGTAGATGTGCAGGTGAACGAGAACCTGATGGCATGGCTAATGTGATTAGGTCCTATGATGGTGTCACTTGAATAAATATGTGCACAGAGTTGGCATCGGGCTTTGTTGCAAGGATAGGTTCCTGGGTGGTGTGTGGTTGCAGGTTGGGAGCTGTCTGTCAGCGAGATCTGGTCTGTCTCCCAAGATCTGTGAGAGTGAGGGATCATTTTTCAGGATAGGTTGTAAATCTTTGATGATGCGCTGGAGAGGTTTTAGTTGGGGGTTGAAGGTGATGGCTAGTGGCGTTCTGTTATTTTCTTTGTTGGGCCTGTCCTGTAGTAGATGACTTCTGGGTACTCTTCTGGCTCTGTCAATCTTTTTTTTTTTTTTTTCACTTCAGAGGTGGGTATTGTAGTTTTAAGAATGCTTGATAGAGATCTTGTAGGTGTTTGTCTCTGTCTGAGGGATTGGAGCAAATGCGGTTGTATCTTAGAGCTTGGCTGTAGACAAAGGATCGTGTGGTATGGTCTGGATGGAAGCTGGAGGCATGTAGGTAGGCATAGCTGTCAGTAGGTTTCCGTATAGGGTGGTGTGTATGTGGCCATCACTTATTAGCACTATAGTGTCCAGGAAATGGATCTCTTGTGTGGACTGGTCCAGGCTGCGGTTGATGGTGGGATGGAAATTGTTGAAATCATGGTGGAATTCCTCAAGGGCTTCTTTGCCATGAGTCCAGATGATGAAGATGTCATCAATGTAGCGCAAGTAGAGTAGGGGCATTAGGGGACGAGAGCTGAGAAAGCGTTGTTCTAAGTCAGCCATAAAAATGTTGGCATACTGTGGGGCCATGTGGGTACCCATAACAGTGCTGCTGGCTTGAAGGTATATATTGTCCCCAAATGTGAAATAAGTGTGGGTGAGGACAAAGTCACAAAGGTCATGACAAAGGTTTGTCACTGGTCCCCCTGTTTAACCTTGAGCAAGTCACCAACCTTATCTGTGCCTCAGTTTTCTGTTCTGTGAAATGGGGCTGGGGATGCTTTGCCCACCTTCTTAAAGTGCTTTGAGGAGCTGAGAGGAAGTGCACATTGTATTTTACCAGGAGGATTCTAGGCTATTTCCTTGTCTGTCTAGTTAAGCAATTCTAGTTTATGTATCACTGGAGTGTCTTGGAACCAGTCACTATGGAGAATGTTAATTTGGGATAGAAAAAAGCAAAGACTTGATATTCAAATATTTTTTTAACAAAGACCATAAAATCAGTTAACTTTTTAACTCCTGCTTTTTAGCCCTGCTTCCCCAGTTAAACAGAAACCTTCTCCACACCTTGGCTTACAGCTTCTCTTAGGCAGTAACAAAGAGATGAATTTTTCTCAATTTTTCCCTGAAGTGAGGGGAATTATGGAATTTCAGTTCCCAACTATGAATCCAAATGCTGATTCCACAGTTCTTCCCTCCAGCAAACTCACTGCTGCTCAGCCCACAAGGGGACAGTTTCTGCATCAGTAATTTGTAGTATTGTAATTTTCTGCATATCACTGAAAAATGTCTTTGTCGAAGGATACCATCCACCAGGCATTTGACACTGGGAATCTGAGCTTCCCAGCACAAGACCCCTGCAACTCTCACAGCTCTAAAGAATTTTGACCTGCAGAGCGGTGGTAGTGAGGTAGATTATGAGCCACGCTCCCTGTTAGACATCATGGGCTACCCCTTCTATCCATCGGCCTTAGGGGAGCATTTTCCAAAGCACCTCAGTCCCATTTTCAGAAGAACCATAGCCACTTACAAGCCTGGGTCCCATTGGAAGTCGATGGAACTTGGGCTAAGTCATATAGAAGTCTGTGAAAATTGCATCCTGTACCTTCAAGCAAATGGCTTGTGTTTGGCCAGCAGCGCCTAGAGTGCCAAGTAGAGAAAGTTCCCAGTGTGGAGCAGTCAGGCCCAAGTCAACCCCAGTACTTGCAGCCCCTTGTCAGAGTCAATTTTGAAAGCCCTTGTTAAAAAGCCCCCTTTGCCAGTGGCTACTAATGTACTTCTGACAGAGCTGGTGAAAGCTGCATGTGAACCATTCCATTCCTGTAAGCTTATGTTGCTTGTACGGTGACTCGTTTCCCTAATGGTAACCTTCCGTTTACAGGGTGAGTGATCCTCAGGCTCTAGTGATTGACCCAGCTTTTACTGGAGGAGGTACTGTGAACTCATCCATGAGACTCCTTACCAAAGCGGTGGTAGAATTCCTCCTTAATGAGCCTAATTGTCCTGCCAACATTCACTTTCTTTTTTGATTGACTGGAAAAAATTGTTAGACATGCAAAAAGAGCATGTTCGCTTGTCATCCCCTCAATCTAATGTCACAGTTTATTCCCTTTTCTGTTGGTGGTAAAGCTTGTCTACATGAGCATTTAGTTCACTGCAGACAAGGATGTGAATCTGCCTTGTGTAGCCTGCCACCGGCCAAGTATTCTTGTGAACCCTGCTGTGTCAAATAGGACTAGATCAAAGCACGTTAATGAACTGCTAGTGTGCATCAGTAGGGTCCAGACAGACAGCTAGTCTGCGGCAAGCTTCACACTCCAACTTGCTGCAAACTAATTGTTTGTGTAGACAAGCCCTCAGACTGTTCTCTCTTACGCTATATCTACACTGGCAGTTGAGCGACAAAAGGTGCTCCCCCCCCACCCCGCCAAATACAAAAGTTTTGCCATGGCAAGAGTCAGTATAAACAGTGCGTTGTCAGCAGGAGCGCTCTCCTGTCAACGATGAATGCTGCTCGTTAAGGGTGGAAGGATTTTGTTGGCAAAAGTGCTGACAAACAGCAACTACACTGCCTGACTTTTAGCAACATGGCTGTGTTGACACGGTCGCTAAAAGCTGTGTAGTGTAGACAAAGCCTTAGTGAGTCTGTTCCTCTTCGCTAAAGCCATTGGAAAGGTTGCCATTTCTCACTAGCTTGTTTGGGTTCTGTGGGATGGGGACAGTTTCTGACAAAGTTGTGCATGTCTGAAGTCCCAGTTTTTTTGTATTCGACGTGGGCCTGTCAGTGCTTAGCGTTCTCTTGATGAAGTCTTGCTCTGTTGTGGACTAATACCTGCTTTTATGGCTCCCATTCCCCTAGTGTCTGATGGACTGTGTGTGTGTATTTAAAGGGCAGGTAAGGATGTGTGCAGAGAACAGGGGAGCTTGGCTAGACACTAATTGAACTGTTGCTTTAAGAAATATCTCAAAACTAACTTTATGATCCAGTTGTTGGACAATCTTGTTGAAAGTCTGTATAAATAAAAGCAAGATGGCCAAGCACGGCTGCACCTAGAAAAGATGGTGCACGTGTCTCCATATCCTCCAGTTTGTTTCAGCAATTGCCTCTTCTCAGATTATATGTGCATGGAGAAGCAAGGATTGTACTATTTCCTTAAAAGGAATTCTCTTTGGACTTGGGGATCATTTTTGGTTCGTAAATGACCTTGCTGGAATTTTGTCAGTGGGTATGAACAGCATAGGAGGGGCAGGGTCCTCATTTCACTTCCCCACATGGTATGTTTCCCTAGGGACTCTTGCTTTTCTTAAGTTTCTCCTTCACTCAGGCAGCAGGTTTCTTTTCACCATGTGAAGTGCTGCAGCCTGTTGCCTAGAGAAGTGACTGTTCCTGGAAATAGTCCTTGTATGTTTTCTCTGCGGTGATTAGTGTTGGGTAACTGTGAGTAGTTCCCACCTGACGGGATCTTGTGGGATATACAAAGGTCAGGTTGTTGGCAGAAAAGTTCCAGCCACATCCAGGACTGGGAATGTTGAAACTGCAAAGTGCATTCTGCCAGGTGTGTCATAGGTAGACAGCCCTGTCTGTCAGACACAGAATCTTCCCAGTTACAGAGAACAGGACATCCCTGGAAAGCGAATTAGTGATGACAGCACTCCTTTTCCTGTTGCTAGAATTTCACTGGTCTTTGAGCTCTATTGACATTACATCCAGCCTTGAGACTGCGTGTGTTTGTTTCTTGGAATGTCCCAAACAGTTCTGTGCTTGCAGTCTGAAATATGGGTAGGTGGAAATCTATTTGAGATTGGTCCTCAGCAGAGTAGCTTGAACTGACCAGGCAAGAAACTACTAGCACTGTAGGTTCTGAGGACCCCCAGACACCATAGAAAATAACCAAGCAATCCTAGTTGATGAATGTGAGGGAACTCAACCCAGCATCTGTCAGTTTAGCCAGGTCCTTCGGTAAGTTCTTGTCACAAAGCAGTCCTGGGAGAGGGGAATCGGAACCACTGGAAGCCCAGTTCTATATATACATCACAAAATTAGCTGCTGCCGAGCTCTTTGAGTGAGAGACTCACTCCTGTTTCTCTACTTCTGCTTTTATTTTTTTCCCCTTTGCTTCTTACATTTCAGAAGAGTCAGTTGAAGATGTGGAAGGGCTGAATGAGACACCAGCTGATCCAGAAGAGCCTACTAAAGAGCAAGAGAGTGGAGGTGACAAGGACCAAAACAAATGGACAGGTGGGTTTTGCTTTCATTCCTATCCCAAGTCCAGCTAGCCTTGAGGATAGATAGATGGTTAGCATGGCTTATAAGGGCACCTCAGCTGATGCCTTGTTCAGCTCTGTAAATCTGGGCCTTCATATTTCTTCCATTTGATTTTATTTGAAGAAGGACTTACAAACTCCATAAAATTTTCAAACAGATATTTCAACTTCCATCCATTAACCTTCCTCGTTCATTTTTTTGTTGAAAATATGTCCCCTTCCAGCTGCCTCCTCCTGCCTGAAGCTACTAATTCAGTGCCCAAAAGCGTGCTAGGCTTTACAAACAGTTATGAGAGAGTCCCTATCCCGAAGTGTTTTCTAGAGACATAGCATGATGGGAAAGGAGGTCATGAAAATGGTGAGTTACGCGGTCATTCTGCAAATTAGCAGGAAAGACAGGGGAAAGCAGAAAGTTACAGGTAAAGCAAACTGTTGCTTTGCTTGAAAGGTCTATTCAGGTGACACCATCAACATGGCATAAGAAGTCATGCTCACAGCACTCCTGTCACTAACACTTTGTTCGTGAGACCAACAGTACATTCGTTTGTTTTCTCACCATTTACTATTTGTATTGCAGTGTCCCCCGGGTACGTCTGTACTGCAGTAAAAGATCCGCGACTGGCCAAGTCAGCTGACTTGGGCACACAAGGCTCAGGCTGCGGGGCTGTAAAATTGTTCAGGCTCAGGCTGGAGTCCGGGCTCTGAGACTCTCCCCCCCCCCGCACGGGGTCCCAGAGCTTGGACTGCAGCCTGAGCCCAACATCTACACGGCAGTTTTATAGCCCCCAGCCTGAGCCCTGTGAGCCCGTCAGCTGACTCGGGCCAGCCGCAGCTGTGTTGTGGATCTTTATCGCAATGTAGACATGCACTGTGCAGACATAACAGTGAGACTCCCCCTGCCCCGAAGAGCCTGCAATCTGGCCATTTCATAGAATCATAGGACTGGAAGGGACCTCAGGAGGTCGTCCGGTCCAGTCCCCAGCACTCATGGCAGGACAAGGCATTATGTAGACTTCCTGCTTGTTTACTTTTTGCTAGAGTTGTACAAAATTTTGACACCACAATTGAAAATAGATGTATTCTTGCTTGTGAGAAGTCAAAAATGTCTCTCTTTGGAAAATCCCTGCTCATTAGAAATGGAGAAATAAGCAGTTTGAGGGTCACTGCCACTCCCGGGAATAGGGTCACTGACCCACTAAAGAAACATTTTTTTAAAATCCTTTTTGCCTTTGGGCAGAAAACAATTTCAGGTTTGTCCTCTTAGCAGGCAGGTAGCAGTTCCCCTTGGCAGCATGGTTGTGCTGACCATTCTGTTTACTTGCAGGTAGGGGAATTGAGAGGGATTCTCATTTCCCAGCATCCAAGTCTGAGCAGTTCTGGCTCTCTTTCCTGGCAAACAGAGAGGAACCCAGCGATTCCCCCTTAGGGTTATTTATGCTGCTGATCTAAAATGTTCCCCTTCCTCAAGGTAGCCAAACAGAAATACAGATGTTTGGCCCCATTTACTCTGTCTTTCGTGGCCAGCTCAGAGAGAGAGCACATAGCTCTTCTGCAGGCTGCCATTTCCAGTATAGTTCCCATCCTGTTTACAGCTGCTTCTCAATGAACCACAACTGAAGGCCACAGGTCTCTGCAGTGCATACAGTCTTACTGTGGTGGGGTATTACGATCTCTGCTTTCACCTCCAGGAACAGTTTTGATTCTTTCACTTTCGAAGGACACGTCAAGACTGGGAAAATAGGTTTTGTTTTAACAGATTACGACTCATTTTCCAAGTCTAGACAAGCCTCAACGAGCATACAGAAATGTTTGTGAATCTGTTGTACGCAGTCCTCCTCCTTCGTCTCCCTCAGCTTGAACAAAATGGTGCATGAAGGAGACCCAACTGATGACAGTCCTTTTCCAAAGCCCCTCCTGCGATGCTGCGTATCTCCAGGGAGAGAGATAAGTCTGGCATGGATTAGAAACTGACTAAAATACAACAAAAAGAAGAAATAAACGATTAGTTTTCACCATGGCAAAAGGTTAACAGTGGAGTTCCATACTAAGACAGTGTTGTCTGATTTATTGAGAACAGGAAAATGGGGTCAAGGGTCAGGTGGCAAATGTGCAGGTGACAGAAAGTTAGGTAGGCTAGAGAAGACTGTGAGGAACTTCAGAAGGGACCTACTTAAACTGTAAGCTCTGAGGGGCAGGGACAATCCTGTTGCTAAGTATTTGTACAGTGAGTAATACAATGGGACCCTGCCCGCTGGTTAGAGCCCCCAAAACACAACCACAATACAAATAATTAATCATCATCACCCTGGGCAGCAAGATTGAAGGTGAATGAAATTCAGTGTCAACAAATGCAAGGGAAGCACATTGAAAAGACTACTTGAACTATTTGTAAATGTTAATATATTCGAAATTATCTCACGGTGCTGGCGCACTGGTATTCGTAGCACTGCCGGAGTAAGTTTAAATTTTTAGATTGTTTTCAGTTATATGTTTAAGAAATCATGTGAAAAAATTGAAGTCATGTAAAACTTTTTTTTCCACGCACAAAATCTAAATGTTGGACTTAAACTTTTAAGGCTCCTTGTATTATCATTTTCCTGTGAAATTTGTAGCCCATCTTCAGTGTAAGTGCCATGTAAACAATAAATACTAAAACCAATGTATAGCAGCTCTAAGCTTTGCTTAGTGTAAAAGTTCTCTAAAAGGAAATAAGCTCTACTGTGTTAGGCCTCACCGCTATAACTGGCTCTACATAGGCCAGTCCCTGTGCTTCTACAGAGCCCCAGGAACTCAGTGGGGCTCTGGACTTGCCCTGGCCAGAGACTGTAGCAAGGTCAGGGACACTGAGTTTAGTGAGATTTAAGAACATGCTTAAATGCTTTGTTGAACTGGGGCCCTAATTTTGTACATGTAATAAAAATACCCCACATTATTCAAACCAGAGAAACACTGAAACCTTTTCTTACTTACTGGAGCAGCGTAGCAGTGTGGTTGTAGCCATGTTGTCCCAGGATATTAGCCGGACAAGGTGGGTGAGCTCTGTGTGGCTCCAAAGCTTGTCCCTTGCACCAACAGAAGTTGGTCCAGTAAAAGATATCACCTCACCCACCTTGTCTCTGTAGGTGAACAGAGCAATTGTAATTTTACATCTTAGTCCATTCTGCTTCCAGAATCCCCTTGAAGGCAATGGAAGATCAGGGCAAGGAGGAAATGCAGGTTCAAGCACTTGCGAGCCAGTGAACGTGGGTTTGGCCTGAAAATCAAGAGACTCTGCTTCTGTTCCTGATTGATTATTTATTTATTTACTTATTTGTATTATGGTAGCACCCCGAAGCTGTAGTCGTGCACAGGACCCCACTGAGCTAGGCACTGTACAAACACAGTCCCTGCTCCAGTGAGCTTACGGTCTAAGTGTAAGACAGGAGACAACAGATAGATGCAGATGGATGTGGGAATACAAGGAAACAATGAGACAAGATTGTTCAGCATGATTGTTCAGCTGTGATTTCAGCACACTGGCAGCGTAACCACTGTCAAGCTCTTTTCAAGGCATCATGGCAAAGGAGGGTTTAGAGGAGGGATTTGAAGGCCGATTAAGACATCGCTTTCCGGACGTTTACAGGGAACTTCTTCTAAGCAAAAGAGTGACGGTGCTTGTTTAAAAATTTAACAAGTGGACAAGGCAGGCTGACAGCATGATCTAATTCAAGGCAGGCATCCACCTTTTGATAATGAGAGATGATAGGTTGGGTGAGGACAGGTAATAAAGGGACTTGAAATTGAAGATAAGTAGCTAATGTTTGATGCCATAGAGAAGAAGGAGGAGGAGGGATGCAAGTAGAGGAGTGACATGGTCAAAGCAACAGGCTAGGAAAATGACCTCTGTAGCTGTGTTCTGGATCTGAGCAGAGCAAGACTGCATTCTCAAGGCCAGAAAGAAGGATGTTGCATCGAGATGTGAGATAATGACAGTTTGGGTGAGATTCTGTAGCCATATGAATAGATAGGAAGGGGCGGTATCTTAGAATCGGCAAGATTTAGATACAGCCTAAATGTGAAGACCTAGAGGAGATGATGCCTTTCTTACAGGCCTGAGTGACAGACAGTATGGTGGTGTTATCCACGGTGATTGAGAAAGGAGGGAATAGGAAGAGCTTTTGAGGGGGAGAGTAGGAACTCCATCGACTCATTATGTGACTCTTCAGAATTTACTTAACCTTTTTGTGCCTCAGTTTCCCACCTCTAGACTGAATAATTACCCACCTTAGTAAAGCACTGTGAGATCCTCTGATGAACAGCTGCTGTGTAACTTATAACCATTATTCGTTTTATTGCTGGAGCAGAGTGAAAAGTGTCCGTGGTCAGTCAACACTGCAGCTGGCTGCCTTTGACCACTCAGCATGTTGTGCCAGCATGAAACCTTTGTAAGATATTTGCGATGAAATGGAAAAGACTCAGCACTTTAGGTTTCTCTGTTTCATGGCAAATTTATAAAAAAATTTCCAGTTTCAAAACAAGTCTGGAAAATTTTCTTTTTTTAAAATTTGTAAATAGAACAAATTATTCTTGTCCCATGTTCAAGTAACATTCTCCCCCACCCAAAAAAAAAATCAAAATCTTTTGTGCATAATGATGAGTTTTCAAATCAAAATACAAAATTTAGAATTTTTGCATATTTTGATGTGGATGAGGGGAAAGCCGTGGACGTGTTGTTCCTTGACTTTAGCAAAGCTTTTGAGTCGGTCTCCCACAGTATTCTTGCCAGCAAGTTAAAGTAGTATGGGCTGGATGAATGGTGGATAGAAGGTGGATAGAAAGTTGGCTAGATTGTCGGGCTCAGCGGGTAGTGATCAACGGCTCCATGTCTAGTTGGCAGCCGGTATCAAGTGGAGTGCCCCAAGGGTCGGTCCTGGGGCCGGTTTTGTTCAGTATCTTCATAAACGATCTGGAGGATGGTGTGCATGGCACCCTCAG